AATTAGTTAAAAATTATTATTTAAGGGCCTCCCCTGGTGGTGCAGTGTTTGAACTCTGGGCTGCGAGGCTACCTGCAGCCTCTGCAGCGCCAGTTCGTTCCCAGCCACCGGCGAGGGTCCCACCCAAAAATAAATAATAAAAGTAAATTAATAATAATTGTTGTCAGTGTTGTCACAAATACTGGTAAAATAACTTTCTCTAAAATATAGTGCAAATGGCCCAAATTCTAAATGAGAGATCTCTGTTTTTACCTTTGTGTCTTTTGTCTCCAGAGGGTTGCTGGGTTAAAATGGTGCCATTATATATTCTAAGATTTATTCATTTATGCATACAAGAGCTGGCATACAGGCCAGAAATGCGGGAAGTGAGAGGATTCACCAGAGACCGAGCAGGGAGCAGAACAGGTAGATCGACTGAAATACACTGCTGAGGGGAGCAGCAGGTGAGACAGGAGAGGTCTGCCTCGCCATGTGGGTTTCTCCCTGGCCGGCTGGGGATCGAATTCGTAATGCAGAGGCTGTAGATTGCTTCACACTGCGGTGTTTAACCCCTTGAACCACCAGGGAGTCCACCACAAAAACGAGTTCAAAATGCAATGGTTTAATTAAAGCACTGGTGAGCACCTTCATTGATGTTTCCTCCCCTTGTCCTAGCAAAAAAAAAAAAAAAAAAACAATAATAATAATAATTAATTAACAAAAAAAACCTCTGGTATATAAATTTGTTTCATTTGTAATGCTGCATTTTGAACTTCGTATCCTAAGACAAACTAAAGCTACTTCTGGGTTCTCTATCTTCAATCTGTTCTATCATTATTTAAATTGTGGAATATTTCTCCTATAAAACTAATGTTCTAATAAGTTCAATACAATGAAAACTTGACTACTTAATGAGCTTTTGGTTTATATTTTGCTTCTTAATGTAGGAAATCTAAACTATATTGTTTATCATTTCACTAAAAAAAAAAAAAAGATGTGTTTATGTATGAGTTACCCAGTAGAAAGGAATAACAGCATAACAGCTCTTACAATGTCCTGAGGTGAAAAATGTGAGCCTGACTTGTTCATTAGCCAAAGTTATGTTGGACAAGGCCTGGGTGTGGACAGAAAGTTCGGGGAGTGACTGATGGAGTTTCCCTGTCCAGGCGCCTGACTTGTGGCAGGGCAGCGCCCCCTGGCGGCGACGGAGGGGGCGGGCGGGGCGGGGCGGGGCCGGCTGGGGTAGTGCGGGCAGGTGCCTCAGCCTCTGCAGTCGCTGCTCAGAGAACCCGGGGACCCCACATCCGCCACCCCGGGCCCCCTGGACGCTCGGACTGTCGCGGACACAGCGGCCGCACCCCGAGGCTGGGTCTGCGTGGGGGTCTCTGGCCGGTACCCGGGGGCCGCTGCAGGGGGCCAAGAGTCCGCGAGCAGCGGGCGCGGGCGCGACCCCGTCCTGACGCCCTGGGCATGCCCTTGTCATCCCAGGAATATTCTCTCTCCGCCTAGAGTGCAGGAGGCAGACTTGTCAGAGGTAAAAGATCCGGGTGCTCGTCTGGGGGGCGCCAGGAGAGACCTGTCCCTGCCCCTGTCCGCCTCTCTGCAGGCGGCTGCCCTGTGCGTGGACAGTGTCCGCATCTCCAGGTCCATCCACAATGTCACGTGTGGTCTTTCATTCCCGTCCGCGTTTTCACTGACCTTTTTAGAAATAGCAAATACACGTCTGTGTGTAAACTCTATCCGCTCTTCATGAAATACAGCCCCTCCCCCCATTCTGGACAGGCCATGGCCTGAGAAAGTCAGAGTGAATGACCTTCACTGTGGAGCACTCCCTGGGACACCCCGCGGGGCATCGGACCGGATTCGGGTTGGGAGGGGCAGCAATCAGGTGAGAGTAGCTTTAGATTTCCTGTGGGGGAGCCTCTGCTCTGTGCAGCAGGGTGGGGGTACACACTAGACAGCTAGCAGGATGGCCCGGAGCCCCAGGATTGTGAAAACGAATGAGGAAGTGTAGCTGGGACACTGCTCACTAAGCGCTAAGTGAAGAACCAGACAGTCAATCACAGAACTTGGGAAAACAAGTGCCTTCGATGCAAATAAACTATGTTTTCTCCTGAGTAGATTTGCACCTTACCGTACCATCTACTGGCAGACAGCCCAGCTTGGGTGCTTGCCCTCTGTTCAGATCAATCCCTGCTGTGCCGTTGTCCCAATGTGGCCCATGTGACCCTCGTCCCTAGTTCCCGTGCCCATGTGGAGGCTCCCAACAACATCAGGAATTCCCCACTTACCACTGAACAGGGCTGAGGACTGACACCTTGGGTGGTGTGACAAAACCATCAGGCTAGATCTGGAAAAAAATTACTTTTTGGTTTCCCAGTCAATTTAAAAAATGTAGGCTCGGGCCTCCCTGGTGGTGCAAGGGGTTAAGCATCAGCACTGTGATGTAATCCGTAGCTACTACATCAGGGATTCAATCCCCTGCCAGGGAGTTGACCCACATGGCGGAGCAGACCTCTCCTCTCCGCCACTGCTCCCCTCAGCAGTGAATTTCAGTCGCCTATTCTGCTCCCTGCTCTCTCTGCTGAATCCTCTCAGCCCAGCACCTCTGGCCTGTACCCCAGTACTTGCATGCACAAATAAATAAGAATTAAAAAAATAAAAAAGTAAGTTCTTTGCCTTTTGATAGGAGACAGTGGCTCTGCAAGTGGATATTGGAATCAATCAACCCTGTGTGTATAAACAATTATTCCCCACATATATCCTTGTTTATTCCTTTCTGTAATTTCAGAAAAAGAAAAGAGCCATTAATGTATCTTCAAATTTCTGAAGATTGCAAACTATAGGGCCCCCCTGGTGATGCAGGTGTTAAGTCTCAGCACTATAAAGCTATCCACAGCCACTGCAGGACGAGTTTGACCCTGTCCAGTGACCTGACCCACATGGCTCAGCATTTCTCTCCTGTCTTCCCAATGCTGCCCTCAGCAGCATATTTCAGTGGATCTGCCTGTTTTGCTCCCCACTCTGTCTCTGCTGAATTTTTCTCACTCCCTGTAACGCTGGCCTACATCCCAGTTCTTGTAGCACAAATAAATAAAATAAATCTTTTAAAAAGATTATAAATTATAGTTTAGCACAAAGGATAAATATAATTTTTATAACAAAATAAACTCCAAAATCCAGCTAGCTCTCTCTTTTGTTAAATCATATTTTAGAGTGTGTTAAGGGAAAAAGAAATCACCTGAAAGGATCTATAATCATCACACACTTGAACATAACCTGATTCCAGTAAGGTAGTAACAGGCCATCTGTCACTTTCAGTGTTTCTGTGGCATCCCTATTTGTGGGTGTCTGTGTCACATGTGGTAATATCCTCTATTCCTATGGGGTGATCACAAGATTTCCATGGAACTGGGGCAGGTGGTTGATATCAGTGAAGAAGGGGACACATTTTCTAGGTTTGCTCTGGGTGCTGTATCTGTTGTGTGCAACTGGGTAAAAAGCACATTAAACAGGATGTCACTGATCGCCGAAAGTCACTGGGAAAGTTGAGGTAACGAGAGTAATTAGAAGAGGTGAGCTGGCCTTCCTGGGTTAAGGGAAGACTCACTGTAGAAACACCTGTGTGCAAGGGTCCTGGATAGTATAAACATGAAATTTCAGAATGACCAAATGACTCCATTAACTGGGTGAAGAAACACAAGGCCACACTATCATAATCTTCTCCGCCGAGTAAGCACAAATATGTGGCTGTCATTACAAGTATAACCTCTGCCTTTCATGACAATTCAACACCTATGTGTATCACTTAGGTGTGATTAATCATGTGACACACATGATTAACACATGATTTCAATTTTGTCTGGTATCTAAAATTTAAATCATTCATAATATGTTCATTTTATATCTTGACTCTTTCACTCAACAACAGGCAGGCAATGTGACCCACATATTGGATTTTGCTAGAGACTTTATATTTTCACTGCAAAGTAACTTCTCCCTTCTGTTCTACATGTAAAGTATATTATTTCCATGCTGGAATAAAACTGTATTTGCAATTTTATATCATTTCTCTTTCACTTAATGTTGTAACATAAGTGTTTTGCAAGTCATTGATAACTATTCAGAATGATGGTACCTAATTGCTACATTTACTGTCACATATTTGACTGTTTCCTGGAGTTCTGATGGAGATTGTTTCCTGTATTTGTTAGTACAAGAAAGTGCTGGTTAGCATCTTTACGGATATACATTTTTATTTGTGTTCACAGCATTTCCTTAGGTCATTTCTCAAACACTGCATTACTATTTCTTTTAATGCACATGCATATATATAATATTCCAAATTCTAATAGCTGAAGTCTAAGTTCCCCACAGAAGGGCGATATAAAATTTTTCTGAATGAGCGAGAACCCCTATTTCAGCGGGTTCTTGCCTCCATGTCATTCTGTCTGCCCATCTTGTAAAGGCTCTGAAGTCACACACTCCCTCTTCCTGCCCCCTCTCTGCGCGGTCCTCCCCTGTCCAAGACTCTCCGCGGCTGAGTCTCCCCTTGGCTGGTCTGACCCGCCCCTCGGCCCCGGCTCCATCCCCCCTGCGGGCCCTGGCCTGGCCTGGGGCCTCTACCCAACAATTGTCCCGCCTGGGCGGCCCCCACCCCCCACCCTACCCCCACCCCCACCCTACCCACCACCCCCCCCCCCTACCCCCCCACCCTCCATCCCCCCCACCCCCACCCCCCACCCCCCAGCCACCAGGCAGCAAGCGCCTTGTACCTGAGCCCGGCTCCCCTGCGAGGCTGTCCTTCCTCAGCCTCGCCCCGCCCCCTGCGTGTTGACATCACGTCCCTGCGCGCTGACGCGGGAGCGGAAGTGGCGGAGATGGGGGCCTAGAGCGCCAGCCCAGGCAGATGGGCCCTTGGGCCAAGGAGGGAGCAGCCCCGGGGGCAGCGCGCAGGCTGGTGGCTGGTGGCGGGGCGGGGAGAGGCAGGGAATAATGGGGGGCGGGACGCCCCATCTCCCTGTGGGGGCAGCGGGTTTCGGGCCTGTGTGGTCGCGGGTGAACAATCCTCGCGTGTTTTCAGTCACGGGGGCGCGACTTGCTGTGGAGTCGCGTGGAAATTCTACGTTAACGGCGTCGTCGGAGACGCGGGGTGTTCGCCTCCGTTTAGTTGGATTTTCTGAGCTTCGGCGCAGCAGGAGGGGCGCGGGCGCCCCGTGAGCACCCGGGGCTCTCCCCTCCCTGCCCTCCCCTGTAGCCCCCGTCCACCTGCAGCCCCTCCGCACGCCTCTCCTGCAGCCGCGCCCCTGTGCCCGCTCCTGCCTCCACAGCTGCCGGGCTCGCCTTGGCACTCGCTTCCCGGGACTCGGGGTGAAGCTCTTGCCTGCGGGAGCCCAGTTTCTTCAGGAGCCACCCGGAGCAAGAGGGAGGTGAGGACAAGTCACTGCCGGTGGCTGATGCAGAGCGGGCCAGTCAGGGGAACTAGAACGGGGCGGGCTGGGGGTGCAGAGCTCTGCTCTGGTCATTTTGGGTCCTGGAGGAACATGGGGGTCAGGTCGTTCCTGAGTGTGACCCCGTGGGTGGCCAGCGCCCCTGACGGAAAGTGCATCCCCCGTGTTTGCTCCCAGTGCCTCCCTGCTGCACTGATCACCCCTGGGGTGGGTTTGCTTGGCTCTCCGCTGTGCTCCACTGATTTGTGTGTTTAATTTCTATGTGCTTAGAATATATTTTGGGGAATTATAAGTTTACATGTTGTAATCTTCTCTGGGGCTGACACCGCCTCTCCACCCCAGGTCCAGCAGGCAGGAGGGCAGAGTCGTGTCCCAGTCTCCTGGGGGCACAAGTTCTGACCCAGAGGGTTGTTGGTGCCTGGGGCTCTGTATTTCTCACAAGGGGTCTGAGATGCTGCCCCTGCTGGTCTTGGGCCCGCATGTGAGGGCTGCAGCGCTGCTTCCCTGTTGTGCAGCTGACGTTGTCATTCAGAGCCTGGCAGAGAGACCTTGGACCCCTGGACACTGCCTCAGGAGGCGACTTTACACTCTCCCTTGACGAGAATCCAGGCTTCCCTGACTCTTGAGTGACCAGGAGCCACACAGCCTGCCACAAGCGGCTACAAGTGTTTGGTTTTCTAAAATGGGTTATTATTAACCGACTCCATGCAGTGAAAGCAGTGGCCCTCTCTGCATCACTAAAGGACACACCCAACAAACCTTTCAGCAGGGTCAGCTGGGTGCTGTCACAAACAGGGAAGGAAATTTTCTAAATGGGGAGCATTTTTGACACTGAAGGGTTCTTTTCTAAGCTCTTGAGATCTTTTCTCTATAGATGGGGCTAAAAATAGCTCTCCTATTTCAGGGATTGAGTAAACCACAATGACTCATGGGAACTGGATATTTTGGAGAAAACCCCCTTTATCTGTCTTTTTTAAAGGTTTTTTAAAGATATTTATTATGCAAGCACTGGGGTACAGTCCAAAGCGTGGGAGGGTGAGTGAATTCACCAGAGCCAGAACGGGAAACAGAACAGGCAGACTGATGAAATACACTGCTGAGGGGAGCAGCGGGCGTGGCATGAGAGGTCTGTTGCACCATGTGGGACCCTCGCCAGCAGCCAGGGATCAAACTGGCACTGCGGAGGCTGCAGGCAGCTTTGCAGCCCAGCGCTCAACTGCTGTCCCACTAGGGGAGGCCCTTTTTTAAAGCTTTTTTAAAAAAAATTGCATAGAAAAACTTGGGTGCAGGCCAGATGTGTGGAAGGGTGAGAGGATTCACCAGAGACAGAGTAGGGAGCAGAACAGGAGGATCTTCTTAGATACACTGCTGAGGGGAGCAGTGGATGAGACAGGAGAGGTCTGCTACACCTAGTGGGTCAACTCCCGGCTGAGGATTGAACTCAGGCCAGTCATGGTGACAGCACTGGGATTTAACCCCTAGCCCACCACCGGGGGGTGGGGTGGGTAGGGGGGAAACGCTGTACTTTACTTTTAAATGTGTTGCCACTTCCTCTGTTATGCTTGCTTGGGAGAGAAGTTGAATTTCTCTAGAAAGGAGAAAGGAATCGGCCTTTATTGAGCATCTGATGGAGATTACCTGACCCTGCACAACATGTTCATTGCTTTAGTTCCATGATCTCCATTAATGACGCTATAGAGATATTATTCCTACATTGTAGTTGTGGACACTGTGGTCCAAAAGGTATCAGTAACTTCTCTGAGATCAAAAAAAATAAGCACAAGGGCCAGATATTTTTGGACCCCCCCAAATTTTTGTAATTTGTTCTGAACCAGAGGTTTTATAATGATGGTAAATTATAACCCTCTTGGAGGCCGGGAGAGGGAAGGAGTTTGAGTCCATCCTCAGAACAGGACTGTGGGTGCTGGACTTCCTCCTCCATAAGGAAGGAGCTTGGGCTAAAACGAAACAGAAGAAAACTTTCAGGTATCGTAGCATGTGAGGATTCTGTCATTAATATTTAACATGAATTACTTAATAGTTTTAGAATGCCCCTCATCCCAAACATGATTGCTAGTTATAAGAGACTGCAGTTAAAAACAGCCATTTCCGTGGGCCTCCCGGTGGTGCAGCGGTTGAGCGCTGGCCTGCAAAGCTGCCAGCAGCCTCCGCTGCGCCAGTTCCATCCCCGGCCTCTGGCGAGTGTCCCCCAGGGTACGCAGATCTCTCCTGCCGCGCCTGCTGCTCCCCTCAGCAGTGTCCTTCATCAGTCTGCCTGTTCTGTTCACCACTCTGGCTCTGGTGAATTCTCTCACCAACCCACACTTCTGACTGTACCTAGTGCTTGTAAAAACAAATAAATCTTAAAAAAAAAATAGCCCTTTCGGGCCTCCACAGTGACATGGCGGTTTGAGCACAATGCTGTGAAGCTGTCTACAGTCTCTGAAGTGTGAGTTCAATTCCCACCCGGCCAGGGAGTTACCCACATGGCACGACAGACCTCTCCTATCTCCCTGCTGCTCCCCCCAGCAGTATTTTCAGTCCATCTGCCTGTTCTCCTCCCCACTCTGTCTCTGGTGAATCATCTCACCCTGCAACGCCTCGGGCTTGCACCCCAGCTCTTGTATAAAAATAAATCAATCTTTAAAAAAAGCATTTTCTCTAACTGTTTGTCTAACACAGCAGGCTTAATTGCTGCACCTACCAGAGAATGTTCCTGGAGATGTATTCTAGATCTGGTGAGGAGGGGATGCCTCTGTAGTGCCAGCAGTATTTTTCAGGATGAAACTCCCCTTTAAGAGCATTTATTTACTTATGTTGTTTTAGGGGCTCCCCTGTCCTTAAAGACCATCTCTTTTTTTCTTCTTTTCTTACATCCTTGTTCATTTTTGTCTAGCTACTGGTTTCTTCCCCAGGGATTGTCCCCATAATGCTCCCACCACCACAGCAGCTGTGACCCATCACCACAATCCCTTGTGCTCTTCCTTCCCCTCTGTTTAGCCCCCTCCCTCCCTCTCCCTGCTGGATGCCTTAGCTCTTGGTCAGCCTGCTAGGGTTGTCTTTTTCTTTACATTTTGTTCAGTTTCTCTGTACTTCCCATCTGATATTTCTTCTCCTGATTTATTGTGCTCAGCATAATCCCTTCCAGCTCCATCCATATCACCAACAGTGGCATGAATTTGTCTGTTTTCTTTGCTGAGTAATATTGACTTGTGTATCTACACCACACCATTTTGATCCATTCATCTCTTTTGTGGCATTTGAGTTGTTTCCATGTCATGGTTATTGAAAATAGTTCTGCAGTAAACAAAGGAGTTCAGTTTTCCTGGGGTGTTTTTGTCCCTTGGGTAGATTCCTAGGAGTGGACTCACTGGATCATGTGTAGAACCATTTTCAGTGTTCTGAGGAAACTCCACACAGACGTCCATAGTGGCTGGACCAGTTTACCTTTCCACCAGCAGAGTAGGATGCTCCCTTTTCTCCACTACTCCTCCAGCATTTGATGTTTCCGGGTTTGTTTTCTTTTAATGTGGAGCATTCTTACTGGAGTGAGGTGTCATCTCTGTGGTTTTGATTTGCATTTCCTTGATACTAGTGATGCTGAACCTTTTATCTGTGCCTGTTGGCCATTTGCATTTCTTCTTTGGAGAAGAGTCCTTTAACTTCTGCCCATTTTTTGGACTGGATTATTTGTTTTTTTGAGTTGTGTAAGCTCTTTGTAGATCTTTGATATCAGTCCCTCATCTGTCATATGGTTTGCAATTTTTTTCTCTCATTCAGCAGGGTGTCTCTTTGTTTTGATCATTGTCTCTTGCTGTTCTGAAGATGTTTATGTTTATGGAGCCCCAACTGTTTACATTTTCCTTTGTTTTCTTTGCTTCTGGAGAAGAATCCTCAAAGACTTTACTGAGGTTTGTGTCATGGAGTGTTTTACTATGTTCCCTTCTGTGTATTCTATGGTTCCAGGTTCCACATGCAAGTCTTTCATCCACTTGAGTTGGCTTGTGTATAGTGTGAGGTAGTGGTCTAGTTCCATTCTTTTTGATGTTGCAATCCAGTTTCCCCAGCACCATTTATGGACTTTAGATATTGTTGGTGCACTTATGGTCCTTTGACATGGATCTGCTCATTTGCAGAGTTTTTTTTTTTTTTCCTTCCTCAGTTCCTCACTGGTGTCTTAGCACCCAAATAACTGATGGTACTTCTGATCTCGTAGGGTGGAGCCTTCCCGGAAGTCAGCCCACGGCTGCACTTCAGCAAAGTGGAGCTCTCTGTTCTGCTGCCACCGTCTTTGTTGTTGACTGTGGACCCTCTTCTGCCCTCAGGATCTGAGCTCTAGGGGGAGACAGAAAATGACAGGGTGCCGTCTGGCAGGACACCGGGATGGCTTTCAACGTGGGGCGAGTTCATTGGAAACACAGGAATTTCACTCTATTCTGTCTTATTTTTCTGGTTTGTGTTTTGGTAAAGGCAATGAACTAGTCAGAGCTAGGATCTTCCCATCAATCACTGTTTCCTTTGCTCATTATGACACGTTCCTACACAATCATGTAGTATTAAATGTATAATAAAATCAGGCTTTTCATTTTGCCTGGTGTTTAAAATATAAATAAATCATATTATGTTCATTTTCTTCTCTAGGCTCTTTCACCCAACAGTACGTGGGCGAGGCGATCCACAGGCTTGGCTGTGGCCAGAGGCTGGTGTTTTCACTGCATAGAGTATTCCACTCAATGTCAAGTAAGTGTCCCTTTCTATGGCACAGGCACGCTGGATCATTCCATTCATATTTTCTATCCAAGCTGGAATAGCACCACCTCATGAACCGTGCACGCCCATTTCTTCAGGGATCACGGTGGCAGTTTATGTATACGGAATCTTGGACTGCTCCTGGGCTTTTCACTGAGGTTGTTTCCCAGCATTTGTTCCTGTAGATAAATGAAGTGCCAGGGACATCTCCACAAGTACAGATTTTTCCTTTTCCAAAGTCCTTTCCCAAACACTGAACAGCTCTTTCTCAATGGCTGATTCTCAGGCCCCAGTGCCACGGAAGGATGGCAGGGACTGCTCTCAGGAGTGAGGGGAGCCCTGCATCCGTGCTTCCCAGCACCGCTTCATCCTCACCCTTAAGGCTTTGGCACCATCTGTCCCCTACTGCCAGTCCCGCCCTTCACCCTGGTTCCCACCTCTCCCTGCTGTGCCTCTGGGCGCTCCCTGCTCATGGTAGGCCTTGGGCACTGTGCGTTTTGGGTCCAGGTCCTCTCCTCCGACAGCTGTGGTGGGCTGGGGCCTGGTGGGTGGCGAGGGTGGATTTCAGCTCCCCGGAGCCCTGTTTTTGTCCACTTTGGCCCCGAGCCCTTGGGCAGGGGCAGCTCAGTGCACCCCCACCCTGCCGGCTCCATCCACACTGCTCCCCGTGTTCTTCGGCCTGTCGGGCCACAGGAAGTTCCCTGAAGATGTGGGGGGTGTCTTCCCTGCACCCCCATCACCGCTCAGGGCCTGGTGGGCCTGGTGGGAATGTCTGGGCCAGGAAAGGGTTAGGCGGGCAGCACTGCCCCCTGGTTGCTGCAGGCAGTGCTCCGGTAGGAGACAAGGGGGCGAAGGGGAAGGCTGAGGGTCTCAGGGCAGCCCCGCTCTAAAGCGGGTAGCTGGACTGTGGTCCTCACCCAACCGCTTCAAGGGGACTCACACTGCAGTCACCCACAGAAGGTTAACAAACATTTATTTACAAGGGAAGGGGAATGAGGAAATGAATGACTCAGGGAGAAAAGGGAGATAAAGTCTTAAATGCGTCCTACCCTTTCTTCCTACCTGGAATCCCAATGACCCTCCGAGACCAAACCTGCCTGGATGAGAGCACGAGCCAAGTCCCCGAGACCCCCTAACAGGGCTGGTTTTATTTACAAACAGGGAAGATGGCCGCTTAAAACCACCCTTTGGCGATAATGGGACTTGTAGTTCCCAGTGACTTGACGGAGTGGGGTTGGCGTCCACAAAGCCCATATGGAGTTTGCTCAGGACATCCTTTCCCCCTATAGGGGAAGGAAGGGCACAGAACAGGTTTTCTATGATCCGAGCAGACCAGGTAAAGGGGAGCCCTGGAGCCCTCAGTGGGTTACTCAGGCTTTTATTGAGCATTTACATGTAGTGCATCTACCAGAGACACGACAGGGAGGGGTGCTGGAGGGGCCAGGAGGCCAAGGCCTCCAAGCCCCCGGCAAGTCTTCACTCTGGCTGGGTTCTCTGGTGTTCTTTCTCCCCTTTTTCTCTTCTGCCTCTCTCCTGCTTCTTCCTCCTGCCTCTGCTTTCCTTGGTGACTATCTCTTTACTCCTCCCATGGCCCACAGAAGTAAACAACACAACAATGTAACAACTGCAGGTACCCTTTAGGCTGGGCAATCCTAATGCTGGGATGGCAGAAAAGCCTGAAAACGGTTTACCCTACAGCCCCCAATAATGGGAGGGGGGAGCCAAGCGAGGACCTGAGCCCGACACTGCTTCCCTCTTCTGCACGGTGCGAGGATGGTGCCCTCAGCCTGCTGGGGTGGCTGCCCAGGAGCCAGTGAAGGTGTCCCCCCTGCAGCTTTAGCACCCCCCGGGAATGGAGGCCCAATCAACACAAGTGGCCCTGGGCACGCAGGACAATTGAGCCAGATCCCAAGGCTGGCGTCCCCTGGGTCCTGCTGCTCTTCAACCCTATTCTGTCATTTCTTTATTTCTCGGTTCTCTCAGAGTCCTCTCCCCATCCACGCTCCCCCAGCAAGTCTCGGGCAATGGCGCACAAACAGGGGCCTGAGGGGAGGACAGGCTCCTGCCCCCACAGTGGGGGATACAAGGGCGAAAAAGCCTCAAAGGTTGATAGGCACAGGCCTGAGGCCCGACTGTGTGGGGAGGACTGGGGGCTCCTGAGGAGCAGATGGGACAAACTGATAGTGAGAAGCCTGAGTCTGTGAAGCTTCTTGGAAGTTTGCTGAGGACCTCCCCTGGTGGTGCGGCACTTGAGCACTGGGCTGCAAAGCTGCCCACAGCCTCTGCAGCGCTGGTTCGATCCCCGGCCACAAGGGAGGGTCTCACATGTTGCACAGACATCTCTTGCTATGCCCGCTGCTCCCCTCAGCAGTGTACTTTGTTGGTCTGCCTGTTCTGCTCTCTGCTCTGGCTCTGGTGAATTCTCTCTGGCTTCTGTTCAGGTAATCTAAAAATCGTGATGCTCTTTTACCCTCAGTGTACTTTGCTGAGCCTTGTCAGAGGAAGAGACCTATTCTTAAATCACTCTGAATTTCATGCATTGACGGACTGATGCTGACCGCATAGCTGCCAAAAGACATCAGCATTCAGGGGCGGCTGTGGTCAGAGCACCGGTTCGGTGCATCACGTAACTCTACTGGGTTTTTCTCCCCTGTGTGGTTGCCATTTCTCCTGAGTGTGGGGAGGGGTCATCTGTACTTTGATGTAGAATTTGCTGTTTGAGCTGCTGTCCAGGGCACCCCAGGACTGACTTCTAACACGAAGGCTTGACCACGATCAACCCTAAAGTGATACACGGGGCCATGTGACTCCCTTGTAATTGCTCTCACTAAACTTACCCTGTTTTCAAAGTCTCAGGATTGTAGGGTGACGACTGGAACCTGTGATTTCTGCCAACAACACTCCACATTTTTGGAGTTTGAATTTTTTTTTCCCCTAAGCCTATGGAGAAAAAACTGCAGTTGTGCAAATTATTCCTCCTGGCATAACTAAGAAAACGGCCTGTGTATGCATGTTGTGGTTGTAGGGCCTTTCCTTATGCCTGTCTTGGCCTCTAAAAGGCTGTCAACATTCTGAACGGAGAAATGTGATAAAACTAGCACAAGTGGTATGTTCCTTAATCCCCTTCCTCCCCGTCAGGTCTGCACCTGGACACCCCACAGCAGCTGACCCCTCACCCCCCCTCACCCCCCCCAGCCTGTGACCTAGGCCTTGGGGCCTGCGGACCCATTTTCTGCCACTGTGTTCTGGCATGTGGGTCCCGCTACAAACTCCTGAGCGGCAGGCACCTGTTTTCTCCTGTCCTCGGGGGCCTCTGGCCTTCAACGTCTTCATCACTCTGAGTGCAGTCCCCCCTTCCTGCCCGTGGTCCCCCGTGTTCATCCCCCCCCCCGGTGTCGTCCCCTTTCCAGCCGGGGTCCTTAGGCCATGCTATTGGCAGGTCTGGGCGCCTCCCCAGTGCGTCTCTCTGCCCAGGCTCCTGCCAGCAGGCCCCCTGTGCTGCCAGGCCAGGCCATCTTTCTCTGGCCCAGAGCTCGGGTGCAGCTGGGGTCGGGCTCCCACTCTGGGGCCAGCGTCCCCAGCACCATGTAACGGGTGCCTCTCCAGCTCGCTGCCCGTGGGCAGCGGTGGCGGTCCCTCCCCTCCAGGCAGGCGATGCCCTGTGCGTCTGCTGACCCATCTGAGTACACGAGGTCAGGCTGCCGGTCAATCTATTGCGCTGACACCGAGGGGCCTTCCAAGTCAGCCGGGAACCCCGGCTGGGTGGCCGGGCAGGGCGGACATCAGGGGCGAGGCGGGGCCTGGAGATGCACAGTGGACGCCTGGGATAAGATGGGAGCCAGGCACTCCAGGTGCGGCCTTGGTAACAGCACCGAGGCCTCAAGCAGAGCCGACGGGGCTGGGTCCGGCGCAGACCCAACCTGTGGACGAGCGCCTGGTCTCCCTCCCTCTTCCCTGCCTCCTCCCTCGCGCCGCGGCGGGGACTGTCCTGCCCTTGAAGGGCCGGGCCTCGCGCCTCAGCAGCCTCCCATGTCCTGCAGTCGGGGTCACCCAGCAGCAAGGCCCGAGGCTTCTGTGCGTTGGGTCTTCCCGAGGCCCGTGGGGATGGGGGGGTGAAGACCCCAGCAGCGGGGAGCCGGGCAGGACACGGGTGGACACGGGGAAGGACAAGGGGACACAGGGTGGGCCGGGCGGCTCCGTCCCATGGAGCCCCCGCGCACTCGGGAGACCCCGCCTGAACAGTGCCGTCCCGGCCCCCCAGGCGGCGGGGGCCTGTCCTGTCCGGCTCCGGCCGCCCGCCGAGGCCACCTGGCAGCTGGACGGGTCGGCTCAGGCTCGGCCGCGCCAGAGGAAGGCGTCCTGGGTCTCGGACCCGGCTCAGTGGAGGGAGACGCGCACCCGCGGGGTTCGGCGCGCCTCAGGGAGCGGCAGGAGGCGACCGGCCCGTGGGCTCGCGCTGGACCAGGCCGAGCAGACAGTCCCCGCGCCCCCGGCAGGAGCCTCGGTCCCGCGGAGCCCTGGCCTCCAGCCACTCAGGCGGCACTAGCGCTGGAGAGACGAGCAGACCCACCCTGGGGTGAATGGGCGCCGTCCCGGCCCCCTGCGCGTGACACGCGACCCTCTCACGGCCTGCCCCTCGGCAGCCGCTTCAGTCAAGGCGGGCCCGGGGGGGCTGGGAGGAGCCACGGCGGCCTGGGGGGCTGGGAGGAGCCATGGCTTTTCGCTGGGCATTTCGGAAGAGTGTGGATAGGGCAGGCGGGGCCTGTGGGCGCGGCTGGAGCTTGTGGGGCGTGGGGGTGCAGGAGGGGCGTGGGGCGGGGCCAGGGCAGGCTGGGCGTGGGGGTGCAGGAGGGGCATGGGGTGCGGCCGGGGCTGGCGGGGCGCGGGCTGTGAGGGCCTGGCTCCTCCTCCAGGCCATAATTTCCCGACGTGTCACCTTCAGGTTTGCTCTCTGGCCCCCTCAGTCTGAGCTGGGGTGCACCGATGAGGCC